AATTTTCAACGTTTATTTGCATAGTTTGTTACATAAAGGTTTTTTCAATTTATGTGAGTTTAAAGAGATCTCAGTGATGCTTAAAAAAGAATAAATTTAACATGAAACAGTGATTTTAAGTCTGGTTAGTCTGACTCAAGTCTGATTAGTTAGAGTGATTAAATTAACTAGGTGTATACCGTAAAATGCGTTGATTTTTGTCTAAATTTTGATTTTTGATTTCTATAAGATTTTCTTATTTTTTATTAACCCTCAATACCGAAATAATCCCGGGATCCCGGGATTGAATAAGTATAATCCCGAAATCTCGGGATTAGAAATAAGGACCGGGATCGAATTCCCTAATTGTATTGTATATTTATTTCATATATTATATACTGAAAAAATTTGTCTTTTATGTACATTAGATGAGATAATATGTATTGTTGTGTTTGATGTTATAATTGTATTTAGTATTGTTTAACCTGTTGGACAGTGGGTTTAAGACCAGGCAAAACCAAAGCAGACTTAATGAGTCTCTGTGAAATATGCCTTGTCTTATGTATATTTACGAGGGTAGGCTGAAAAGTAATGCACACATGCTTGTAGAGCATGAACAAAATGATTTTCAGAAGTGCGCCAGGTGGCATATGGAAGTAACATTTCCCCTCTATGCATATGTGCAGTTTGAGGTTGATGCATTTATTCAGTATATTTTGAGAAGCAGAAATATGGAGACATGTTCTAGTGCTATGTCAACGCGAGTTAAACAGAGTGCTGTTATCGAATTTTTAACTGCTGAAAAAGTGACTCCTACTGAGATTCATTGTCGTTTAAAGGCTGTTTATGGTGACAATGCTGTTAATAGGTTTACTGTAAATTAATGGATAATAAAATTTCTTGGTTGCGAGCCTGGAAAAACCATAATTTAGTATGGTTTTTCCAGGTTTTTTATAGTAGGTCTTATTTACACAACCCGGTGGGCAGTTGCTGTTTCATAAAACCATAATTGTTGATGAAACACTCAGCAGACGTCCGATCACTGCCACAGACGATTACCATTGCCCCTCATTGCAATGTTTAATACTTTTCAGTACATACAGACTCTAAAACACCTCTGATGTTGAGTTTGTCATGTTAGAGGCAGCCTGGTGTCAATAATCTTGCAACATGACGCTCATCCACACACCTCGCGTGCAACTGGAGAGGCTCTGCGAAACATGAAGTTTGAACCGATTTCACACTCTCCTTATTCCCATGATCTTGTGCCTTGTGATTTTTATTTTTTTCCTCTACTCAAAAGAGACCTCAAGGGTAATCATTACACCTCGGACGACGATGTGAAGGCAGCTGTCAAGTCCTGGATTCAAGAAAATTCGGAAGAATTTTTAGTGATGGAATGAAAAAACTTGTTACATGTTGGGAGAAATGTGTTAGCCTTAATGGTGACTATGTTGAAAAATAAATATATGATTTTGAAGCTTAAAAATTGTACTTTAATGTACTTTTTGCCCGATCTTACTATTTGTTTTTGTTCATGTTCTACAAGCATGTGTGCATTACTTTTCAGCCTACTCATGTAATTTATTTTAATGTTTGTAATTAGTCTGAGTAGTATTAGTTGTTCTCTAGTGTTGTGTTGTTTTTCTAAAAAAGTAATGAATGTTCAATCTATTTTGTTTAAGTGTAATGTATGCAATAACCATTAGTATGCAGTAACCATTGATTCGTAACAAAAATACTTCAGTGCATTTTCAAATATAAGCATTCCATCACCATATTTTGGCATAGTAACCTGGGATACTGTCAAATGTTTTTCTGTATTACATATATGCTACATGTAGGTTTTCGTGTTGTTTGTGTGCTTATAATAGAATGACTGAATTTATCGGTAGCTGTTTGCATCCATGAGGTTCTTACAATAGTCTTTTTGTTGCTCTGTGAGATTGTTGTGTTGTTCTAAATGATGATATATTTTATTTTTGATGCATGAAGTGTTTTATAGTATGTAGGAAGGTATATGATTGGTCTGTATTGTGTATATTGTGTACAGTCTTTGGTGTTGTCATTTTTGGGTTTCATTTATATAATATCCTTTGTAAAAAATTTTTATCATTTGTCATGGATTGTTAATTGTGTGTGTAAAATTGGCTAGATTTTGGTGAAGGGATGTAAATATTTGTACTAGAAATTGTGAATATTGTCTAGATCAAGTGTTTTCAAACTGTGTGTTTTTTGTACTGCATGTTGGATGTTGTGTATGTTTATTTTGACAGAGGATGTGCTTGATGTCTAATGCATATTTTCTTCTGTTTTGATCCAGCTTGTTTCATTTTTATATGTGATTAGATTGGACCAAAGAACAGACTAATAGTCTGTGAGTTGTTTTTCTGTTGCTGTAATTGTCTGGTGGGTTTAGTATATAATTGTGTGTAGAAAAGTTTATTTGTGAACAATTTATTTTGTTTGTTTCATAATATACAGGTTTTGTAGCATTTGAGTCTTTGTGACTTTGTTCTGAGTTTATTTGAGTGTCAGTGTATTCTTATAAATGTGTTGTGTTGTTCATGTTTTCTGTGTTTTGATTTTCTGAATATTTTTCTAATTTCTTTCATTAACTTGGTGTTATGTTGTTTTTAGTGTATTGAATCAGCTTATCTAATTGTTATCTAAGTTTATGTATTTGTGTTTCTAGTTTTCTTAACCAGGCAGATTTATGATTTATCTTTTTTTGATTATGTATGTTTATGATTGAACTTTAAGGTCATGGTACATCATCACAGTGATTGCACCAGAATAGACTAGTATATGTATGTCTGAGAGTATTGAATCTGATTGAATGTAGATTGGTAATATTTATGTATTTAGATAATGTAAGATTTATTAAAGTCAAAACAATTGCCAGATATAATCTGGCAATTGTTTGACTTTAGGAATTGGCAGGCTATTAATAGTAGAAGTAATTGCCCAATATAATTCAGAAATTGTTTGGCTTTAATATATAACTATCAGGTTTTAGATGTTTATGTTTACTGACTGTGTGTGATTGTTGGGACAGTCAAAGAGTCGAGATAATTGTGCATGAGTGTGATATACACACTGAGACAGGCTTACCATTCACTTTTTTCCATATAATAAAATATAAAATTATTCTTACAAAATTTTCTATATTCTTGTTGTTACAATTCTCTTTCGATATTTTTTTTAAGAAGAGAGTCCAGTAAAAGTCCAAATGTCACATTGAATGTCTATACTCAATCCCATAATGATGGTCTTCTGCAGGATTGACAGCCTCGGGGCTCATTGTTAAGCTTGGATATAATAGATCTTGGAAGGAGAATGAATGAATCTGGGAGACAGAACAATGGATCTCAGAAGAAGAACAAATTTTAGAGGGCAATCAGTGCTTGGAGGAAAAGAACTGAATGTCCTTGAAACATGAGTTTATAAAGGATTTTTCTTTTCTATTCTACATTCCAATTGGTCTTTTCTCATATCCCGGTGACAATTCGAAATCTTTCAAGATGCTGGAGAGGTCATGTCAACACTTAACATGATCCTGATTGGCTAAAATTCCTCCAAACTTTGAACTTCTCCCTTGTAATTCCAGCCTTTTGTTTTCCTTTTTGATGGAAAGAATTTTTATTTTTTTCAGGAGACCTTAAGTCTAGCTTTTTGAAAGGTGAGAATTTAAATGTCCTGTCAGATATTCATCATCATAAACATAAAATTTTAATTTTTGTCTAGGATCTCACATTTAATGTAAGGTTTCCTTAGTTCTGATGTCTGTATTTTGGATATTTGTGGTCCCTATGTTGTAGATATAAACTTGTATATTTAATTCATATTTCTTGGAATAAATTGTGAGATGTTTACGAGGATGTTCCTCTCCTACCACTTACTCGACTCAAGACCTTGAGGTCCGGTCTCGCTTGTCTAAAGGATGGGGAAAAAGGGTTAGGAGAAAGGATCGTTAGATTCTTTCATCTGTCAGGATCTGACACCAATCTATCAATTTATCGCGGATAGATATGCGGATGAATGGGGAATTATCACGAATGATCTCGTCGAGGACTTCGGGTTCAGTATGGAGTGGAAAATGTTGGAAGAAACGCACACCAATCCAAGTTCGTTAACAAAATACCTGTTTATTCTGTACATTTCTACATGGCTAATAATTGGAATACAAATCCCTCTTGGGGTTCAATCCGTATAGTTCATAAAGTAACGGCAAAGTATAAAGTAGTCGCGACCCTACCCGCGAGGTTCGAATAGTCAAATAGCGAGAGAGAGCTTACATATCATCGCGTGTAAGATAAATACCTCGAGTTAAATCGTGGATGTAGTTTCCTGTTCTCCTGGGTTCGGAATATAGTCCAAAGTTCAAATCAGTCAAAGTTCAAAGTCTGTTGAAGACGGTGGCGACGAAAGGCAGGTAATCCACACGCACACAGTATAGAAAATAACTTGTTCCCCCCTGTGTCATCATTGCACTTGTCTTTTATATGGGGGCTCTCTTTTCGAGATTTCCCCATGTACGTCACATCTTCGTTGACCACATGATCTTCGTTGACCACATGATCTTCGTTGACCAATGGTGGCCGAAGTGACAAACTTATGACACAACAGTTAACTCATCTTCTACAGGGAAGTATTGTCGTGGGAATGGAGTTTTTATGAGCAATTTTTATGAGAAAATTTGTCGGTTGTTTTTCCCTTTTTCTGTTAACCCTAACTTTTAATCTAATGAATAAAAATATTCGAATCTTAAATCCGGGCCCTCACAAAATGTAAGTGTGTGTTAATTAATTCTATGTTTATAATATCATCAGTTGTAATTGTTATGGATTCTACACTGCATATGTTTTTGTTAGTTATTACTATTAATGTTTTATTATTATTATTAAGGAACCTACTGAAGAGGAAGAAAAATTATTTATGGATACATGGCCAGATGAAGATTATAAGCTGCCAGAATCAATTGCTGGAACTCATACTTCTTTTGGAAGTGATAAAGAAATTAATGAACAATTAGTGAAAGATAGTAGAGATAAAGTAAGATTATAATAAATTAATTAAATTTAAATTTTTTAAGATATAAATTTTTATATAAATTTTATTTAATTTGATGTTGATATGCTGTTTATTAAAAAAGTTCTCTTGATTTTAATTTATCATCTTTAAATAATTAAATAAATTAGGTCAGTGATTTTTATATATATATATGCATTTGTGGAATCAGTTTCCTTAAACTTCAATATACGAGATATTTAAAAAGTCTAGGAGCATAGAAGAAATTTGTTACAAACAGCATACAGTATATATTTTCAAATAATAATAGCTAACATATTTCAACTTTAACTGCTAAGTCTCTTGTAGATGAAACTCTATATTTTACATTCATATTTAATTCTTTAAACACAAAATTAGTTAAAATCAGCTTAATCCATTAGAAACAAAATTGACTGATGGAGAAGTTGTATGACTGGTTTTGCTATACAAGTTTCCCTTGTAGCCTTAGGGTTAACTACAATTTAAGGCGGCCATACACGTTAAGTTAATCCTCAAAGGATTAACCATGCATGCCTGACCTCGAGTAATTCCTGATAGTGTGTGGGGGAAAATTTAACAGTTTTGGCAAACTGTACCAACCACCGGAGTAGAATTGAAAAACCATTTGATTTTCCTGCATAGTTTTGGACTGCGCAGGCCAACCTTAACATATGTGCCGTCGTGTCGTTCAGTTGTGAGACCACTGAGTAGTTAGAACAATGTCTCGTGAATGTTTGGAAGAATTATTTTCTATAACCTTATTAACTTTTATTATTTATAACCTAATAAATTAATTTTTCAGGTTATAAATTATTTTCGGATCAAAAATTTCTCGAGTAAATTAAAATTATAAATAATTTTAATATTTAGAAAACTTCTCAATTCATTTCTTCCGTTTTCATAAAACATCTCGATACTCTTTATCATTTTCTTCTACATTTTAAAAAATTTATTGTTTTAATATCCAAGTAAATTAAAACATGACAACTTAAAATAAGACAAAGTTTAATAAATTCTTTTCAATTATTAAATTATAAAATTAATTTGCAATAATAATGTTTACAATTTGTACTAATATCAATGTGATTGAGAATTATTAATATATATTCGTCTATAAAATTTAATCCATGAATATTTTTGGTAGTAAAATCGACTTGCCATTGATCTTTTGCTGATAATTGATGCTTTTTAACAGAATCTATATCCCAAGATTTCTCTTGAAAAGTTAATTTTGTGATCCGAAATAATTCCATTAAAAAATTATTCATATGAAAAATTAATTTTGTGATCAGTGCTACCCAAACTACTACTACTACTACTACTACTACTACTACTACTATTACTACTACTACTACTACTACTACTACTACTTACACCATAGACTTTGCATACTTTTTTCCCGCGAGTTTTAATAGAATTTGTTGCCAATAAGCATCCAAGAACAGCCAGTATGTCATCATCAGATGTCATGGCCAACTGACTGACTGAGAGACAATGGCGTAGCGAACATAACTGGCGTCCGGGGCATGACACTATATTGGCGCCCCTCCCCCTCCAGAAGAAAATCTTGTTTGTCTTGGAGACCATTTTGCGCCCCTCTGAGAGTGGCACCCGGGGCACTTGCCCTACTTGCCCCATCCTAGCTATGCCTCTGCTGAGAGATTTTCTTCTTCGTGTGTGGCTGATAGGAAATTCTGAAGTTCCTCAAGGTCAGGCAGCCTCAGAGGATTAACTTAACATGTATGGCCGCCTTTAGTCTCCAGATACTAATACATAAAAAGAAGAAATTTTCAGTGGTTAAAAGTTAAAGCTATGAGTCAATATTAATCTGAAAAAGAAAATAAATAAATTAGATTTTTTGTATACAGTAGACTTGCTTTATAGCAATCCTCAATTTAGCAACTCATTACAATATAATGACCAGTAGAGGTTTCATCTAATCTTCCATAAGTGTAATGCTATTTTTATAACAATATAATGGCTCTGTTAATGGTCAGAATCTTGCTAGAGCAACCTTTCTTAACTTTGGTGAATGAAGAAAGATTGCTCTAACAAGATTTCAGTTAAGAACAAAAATGAGCCACTGTCAGAATACTGTAGCAACAGAATATAATTTTCTCTTGGAAATTTCCAGTATAGTCAATTAATACTATAAAAACTTTGTTCTAGTTGCAATTTGTGACCAAATTGCAACTAGAACAAAGTATTTATTCCAAAAAAAGTCATAATTTGTCTCAGATGCCTGATCTAGAATTACAGTAAGCAGCAATATACTGTGTAGGTTCAGCACGTCATGCAGTATGAATGAGTTCTTACTGCATGACATTTGCAAGTTTGTGTTGCTGTAGGGTTTACTTAATTACAAGTATACCCCATTGTATAAGACCAAGCACCCACATCGATCATTTTATTTGTCACAGAATTTAATTATATTTTTACTTGTGTAAAAATATTTTATAAGCAGGAAGTCAAAATGAAGTGGATACTTATCTTAGGTATTTTAAATGAAATTATTAATAGTAAAAGTATTTCTTAATCAAAATTATATTTATTGAACCTAAAAATATAATACTTTGTGGGGGCCGAGGGGGGAGAAATAAAAAAATCTCGACCGACGATAATATGTGATATATATCGTCGTTGTCTCCCTTGCCATTTGGATTGCCGAGCGGTAACAATCAACGACATGTGGAAGCAGTTGAGTCAGAGATAGATGCTTCGTTTACAAACAACACAACCGTTTATTAAACACGAAAGAAGCTTACAAGATTTCCGCAATCTTGGAAGTTCTGCGGCGGCTGCGGCCTCTGGGTCTTCCTCTCCTTTCCAAGACAGTCCCATTTTGAAGGAGTGTCCCTTGTTCGCGAATGAACCATTCCATCATGTCTCGACGACTCCGGGACGATGCGGTC